AATCATTCTCTCCTCATTATAATGAGGGGAAGTATAAGCACTTGATTTTTTATCAAGAGAAAAATAAATCCTAACGCTTATTATCTAATTATTATGTACATTAAACTAATCTACATTGTCAAAATTAGATGATTCCTCAACAATTAAAAAAGTTGGTAATTCGATCTTAAAAGGGGTGCAGGTTTCTACTTAATCCGTGCATGTTGGTGAAGAATCCGAATAGCTGGTGTTTGTATGGCAAAAATGATCTCCGTTTATTGCTCCCATTTCTTGTTTTATTTTTCACATAAAGCTTCTCATAAGCCGTTAAAGTATTTTGGGGTTGTTCACCCTTCTTCTTTTTAACAATGACGTTTTCTACCTTGGGCTTGATTGTCTTTTTTGGCACTGAAGGATTCAATATAACAAAAGAATCCTTATGGTCACTATTACTTCGAAGATATAAATTTTGTCTAAATCTCCATAGATTCGATGACCCTGAGGAGTTGCTTTTCTCATAAGACTCACTTGAAGCCTTCGTTGTAATATTTTGCAATATCTCATATTGAGTTTCTTTAGAAATACCACTCAATGTTGATTGTTGATTTATGGGATTCTTAATAAAGATGTTCTTTAGCGGAGGTCGAGGATGTGAAGCATTGTTATTTGTGGTGGGGAAGAATTGAAAGGATTGGTCAAAAGTAGGGAGTAATGCTCGTATTTTACCACTTTCGAATATGTCCTCGGCAAATATATGCATTCCTTGGACATTAGTGCATGCAAAACTAAATTCTTGTTCTTCATTATTTTCTTCATCACTTTTTTGAATTTGTTGATTGGTGCTACGACGTGATTCAGATTTTTCTTGAACGGGAGCAAAGACTTCAAAATCTAAAATAGTTTTGTTGTCAATTTGGTTTTTTGTGCTACAATATGAATCAGGATTATCTTGAATGAAAGCAAAGTTATCAAAACCGAAAGATCCATCGTCACTTATTTGGTCTTTTATGCCACAAAATGGATCAAGTTTATCTTGAATTGGAGATAAGCAAGTAAAATCATGGAAATGGCGAGGTGTACAAAGAATTGATAGTGCTTGCACCCTTAACATCTCTATATTTGAGTTTGTTTTCTGCATTTTGTTTCAATAGAGAGATTGAGATATGTGGTAAAGTGAATTGAATATTGAAAGTGATCGATAAATGAGAGATATTTGTATATAAACAACAATTTGTTATTATATTATTCTGGTTCAATGAAACTCGGTTAGCTTGGATATTTAAGGAGGTAGTTACACACGAAAGGTGTTAAGATTATTAAGAAATTGCTAGTTCGTTTTACGTTATACCTATATTGGTTTCTAAACAATTTTAGGCCAAATAATTTTTATTTTTTTTCCATTAAGAAATTTAAATTTGGGATTTAAAATCATAGCCCCTCTTTCAGAAAATTACTTGTCTTTGTATATGTTTTGGCGGTATTAAACTGCTTATGGCTAAGTGCAACCGCTTCAGTTTACTTGTTAGTCGATACTTATTTAGTTTGTTTATTGGTTTCGAGTTTTATGTTGGTTTCTAAATTAAGAATAACAAAATAAAATTGAAAAAACATAAATTAACCATGGATGGAAAGACTTGATATTTAAAATTCATAATATTGTCCTTATGTAGAAAGTATAATTTAAAAAATATTTTAAAAGGAAATACTTAATTTTTCATTAGGAGATAAACCATGTGGATGCATTATTCCGAATCGTGCTTTAATTATTCATATTTTCTATTGATTTATAAAATTTCGAAATAACTATAAATATAGTTAAAATAGATTGTGCATATCGGTCCTATTTATTTTCCTTTAGTGTGCAATAATAAAAAATTATTTAGTTTTTTAATGTCGATACATCTATTGTTGATGATTACATGTTAGTATATTTATAACGAACTAAATTTTAATATGAAAAATTATTAAGGTAAAAACTAAATAACATTCAAATCAATTTTAGATCTTTTATATTGTAACATCCCCGAAATTTAAATGCAACTTAATAACCATTTTAAGTTTTGTAGTAGAAAATTGTTTGATTTATTATAGAAAATTATTATATATTAAATGTATTATTAATTTTTATTTTAAGATATGCATATTAGTTCATTTGTAAGATGATATTAGGCAAGGTTCTAGTAAGGTAAAGATCAGATACATATTAACATGTAGTCTGTGTTATGTTTTGTTTTACTTTGCTCTTGGAGATGAGTGATATGTTCGTAATGATATATTACAATGATCTCCCTATTAAAAATATGTTTTCATTTTATTACTTTATTTTTCTATTTTGATCTTGAACTTTATAATCTACCGTATTGTTTTACATGAATCTTAAGAGATAAGTCAAATAGAAAATTGAATTTGACAATTCTTCTAATTTAAAGTACAAAATATACTCTTAAAGGAACAATTCCATTTTAATGGGATGAAGAGAGAGTTTGATGAAATCAAAAGTTAAAAGTTATTGTCAGTTTCAGGATTCTATCCATTATAACATGAAATAAGAAAAATACATGTGTACCAAATGTTACTCTTTAATAATACACACATGAAAATATGGATTATTTCATAAAAGATTAAACCATTCTCTCGTCCTTATAATAAGGGGAAGTATAAGCACTTGATTTTTTATCAAGAGAAAAATAAATCATAACGTTAATTATCTAATTATTATGTACATTAAACTAATTTACATTGTCAAAATAAAGTGAATCTTCAACAATTAATAAAGTTGGTAATTCGCCCTTAAAAGGGGTGCAGGTTTCTACTTAACAGTGCATGTTGGTGAAGAATCCGATTAGTTGGTGTTTGTATGGCAAAATCGATCTCCATTTATTTCTCCGTTTTTTTGTTTTATTGTCACATAAAGCTTCTCATAAGACGTTAAAGTAATTTTAGGTTGTTCACCCTTCCTCTTTTTAACAATGATGTTTTCTACCTTGGACTTGATTTTCGTTTTTGGCACTGAAGAATTCAATATTACAAAAGAATCCTTATGGTCACAATTACTTCGAAGATTTAAATTTTGTCTAAATTTTGCAATATCTCATTTTGAGTTTCTTTAGAAATACCACTCAATATAGATTGTTGATTTATGGAATTCTTAATAAAGATGTTTTTTAGAAGAGGTCGAAGATGTGAAGAATTGTTATTTGTGGTGGGGAAGAATTGAAGGGATTGGTCAAAAGTAGGGAGTAATGCACGGATTTTTCCATTTTCAAATATGTCATTGGCAAATATATGCATTCTTTTGACATGAGTGCATGCAAAACTAAATTCTTGTTCCTCATAATTTTCTTATCAGTTTTTTGAATTTGTTGATTGGTGCTACAACGTGACTCAGATTTTTTTTGAACGGGAGCAAAGACTTCAAAATCTAAAAATAGTTTTGTTGTCAATTTGATTTTGTTTTATTTTTTTTGCTACAATATAAATTAAAAGTATCATAAATGAAAGCAAAGTTATCAAAATCCAAAGAAATGTCGTCACTTATTTGGTCTTTTATGCCACCACATAGGTCAACTTTATCTTATTTGGTCACTTATTTTAATTTTTCATATTCTCTATTGATTTATAAAATTTCCAAATTGCTATAAATATAGTTTAAATAGAGGTTGTATATCGGTCCTATTTATTTTCCTTCCGTGTGCAATAATAAAAACACATTTAATTTTTTAATGTTGATAGATCAATTGTTGATGATTACATTTTATTATATTTATAATGAACTAAATTTTAATATGAAAATTTATTAAAGTAAAAACTAAATAATATTCAAATCAATTGTAGATCTTTTATATTGTAACATTCCCGAAATTGAAAAGTAACTTAAAATCTCTTTTAAGTTTTGTAGTAGAAAATTGTATGATTTATTATATAAAATTATTATGTATTAAATGTATTAATCTTTTTCATTTAAGATATGCATGTTAGTTCGTTTGTAAAATTATATTAGGCAAGGTTCTAGTAAAGGTTCTAGTAAGGTAAAGATTAAGATCAGATACACATTCACATATAATTTGTGTTATGTTTTTTTTATTTTGTTCTTGGAGATGAGTTGGTTTGTCCAAAATAATATATTAAAATGATTTTTCTATATCTCTCTATCTCGTTAGATTCTCTGTAAGTTTTTATTTTGAGTTTATTTCTTGCATAGAAAACATAAGAGAACGCATTTTTTTCTTTTTCCTAGAATATTATTGTGTATTATGGTATCTTGTAATCATAAAGATATGGTGTAATCAAACATACATTTCATTCGACATTTTTTTTTTCTCTACATGCAGATACTTTGAGTATTTTCAAAAACTTTGTACAATCTTTGGAACACCCCCTTTCTATCAGTAAGAACTTCTATTTATAATGGTAGAAAATAACCAACACTAACGGTTACACCATAAACCATAAACAAATGGCAAGTGACGCTCGGCATATCCCTCTTCTTTAGAAAACTCCACGTGTCCTTCATAAATCTGAACAAGAACGAAAATTCCCTTATTTATTTGAATTCAAATTACGCGTCGAAATACCATCTCCTTCAAACCATCTTCAGAATATTTTTCTTCATATCCTTACCCAGCATTCTCTCTTTGCACAAATGATCATTTCGACTAAATTAAATATAGTCATGTCGAAACACATATTCATTACTTCATGTAATTTTTTTTTATTATTTCTTTAATAAAAATCCAGGAATCGAATTCAAGAGCTAACGTTGAAATGATTACTCATTCTGTCTTTCTCAAAACATCATGTTTTCTCATTTGTTCTCTAACGCTCTGCTTGCTGATCTCTAAAGATTTAATCTGATCCAAACAATCTCTATGTAATCCTTATCCTTAATTATATAATATAACAAATGATGAAAAATAAGGAAACATAGAAATCAATCCTAATTATATGATATGGCAGCATATATTTTTGCTATGTCAGAGAGGGAAAACATTGCAACATGCTTCAATTATATATGTACCTTTCTAAGAGGTTATTTTTCTGCAATCAACGAAGTCAACTTCAACCGAGGGTGAATTTTGAAGCAAGAAGTCCACAATTCCATCAGGTACAAGCGGAGACAGTTCCAATCCTAAATCAAATGCTTTCTGTATCATAGCAGATTCGTTCTCTGACTTGACGTTCTGTAACTTGTCATTGCACAACGCAACACAAAGTCCATATTGAATTTCATCAATTTTCACTTTCAATGACTTTAATTTACCCAAGGAAGGGATCTTAAACTTCAACAGACCAGGAATTAAGGAGAGAACCTTCGCAACGAGGGACGCAATCAGATTAGTCTAATATAAGTCAAATAATTTTTTACAGTAAAAACACAGCCTCAAAAGATGTTAAGTTAATGTACCTGAAGAGTAGCTGCAGTAACCGTCAATGACTTTATATTAGCAAACTCTGAGAGCCAATTGAACAGAAACAACTGAGGTCCGTAACAACTATACGGAAATACTTCCGCGTCAATATCTACATGTTTAAGAGAAGAAATATTGCTCCAAGAGATATCCTGATAAGGAACACCACGAAAAGAAAATGTACAAAGACTCGGAGTGCGAAAATCAATTTTATAATAGTCGTCTGAGTCATTGTACATAGTAAAATTGACAAGCGTCGCACTTGAAATACACAGGGTTCCCCAACCTTTCACGGAACAATGGGAAATGAGCAAACGCGTCAACCTATTAAAGGTTGAAAATGGTTCGGCGCAATCATTATCGTCAACAGAAAATGTAAAATTCTCTAGTTCCAAGGTAGATAAAGCCGGCAAACTGAGAGATTTCGGAAACAGGTTTTCACAGCCGTAACAAATAGAAATAGAAAGAGTAAGATGTGTTAAAGTCTGAGACGAAAATAAGGCAACAGGAATTTGTTCAATGGCAGTAGTTACACTAAGTTGTAACCGCTGAACATTGTGCGAAATAGCATAATTCACAATACTTGTAAGTAAGTGACACTCCAAGAGACTAGATCTATTCTCAAAGTCAAGAGTGTGCAGTGAGACAGAGGAATCGCGAAGAGATAAAACCTTAGACACGAATTCAGTGAATATCTTATTAGTTCGAAAGCATCGAAAATCCGATATATGGAAAAGAAGAGCAGGGAGATGTTTCCAGAGATCCTTCCATCTTGAGGATAAGATGCATGTTCTAACTGCCTCTTTGGTGATCAAAAAAGAGAGTATGTGAAGGATAATGCAATCAGGTAAATTGCTGAGCATGTCTTTGTCTTTGTGAACATTATCACTGACTTCAACTTTCTTCGTTGCAACAGAATTAGACATTACCTAATGAGAAAAAGAAAAATCATGAATCAATATCTTTTGAGAAACTGCAATGGAAAATCAATCGAAAATCAATCGGAAAAAAATCATGAATCAATATCTTCTGAGAAACTGCAATGGAAAATCAATCGGAAAAAAAATCATGAATCAATATCTCTGGCTAAATCAATCGAAAAATGAATGGAGAAAAAGGAAATACCTGACGAGTTTGTTGAATTTGAGTTGCAGAAGCTGAACGATGGAACTGGAACTTGAATCTATGCTTTTTAGGGTTTATGCTAAACGATTTTGATGGATTTGGGAAAAACGCGATATTTTAAGGGTTAAAAAGTTTCTCTCAGTATGGCTTGGTGTTTTCCTGAAAATATAGCACTTTTCAACGCTTTGCAAAAACACAGTAATTCTCTGATACTACCTCCCCCAACTCTTTTATGAGTGAGAAAGAGTAAAATAGAAATGAAAAAGAAGGAAGTATTTTTGTTTGTTCTAATTTATTTGAGGTTTATATCTAATACTTAAGTGATAATGAGAATATGATTTAATAGATAAGAGATTGGTTCAATCTATTTTATTATCTGAGTTTTTTTTATTTATTTATTAATTTTTATTTTATGTTAATTTGTGGCTTAAGAACATGATTTAAAAGTCATTAAATATTTATTTATTGATTATTTTTTTAAAAAAATTGGATTTTTGGACGGAGAATGACGATGAAGACGATGAAGGAGAAGAGAAATAAAAATGAAGATATATTAAAAGTATTAAGTTGTAATGTTATATATGTAGAATGAACTTTCTAGGACGGTGCATGTAGGACGTTGTTAACCTGGAATTTTTAGTTGGACTAGCATCTTGAAATATGGTTTGGAAGAATCTCAAGAGCAGATCTTGAGACATGGTTTGGAGAAGTCTCGGTAACCAATATGATTGATCACTCGACACTATGCCGAGGTCGAGGCATTCGATGAACTTCAAAGACTTAGAAGATTTTGAAAATCAAAGACTGAAGAAAGGACTTAGTGTTGTCAGCAATTATCTTTATCGAGCAGATAGTTACTAGTCGCTAAGGGCAGTTACAAACGTGGGATAATGGTTTTCGGCAGTTTTCAAGTATTGATGATGTGGCAGTGAATCAGAAGATCAGGTTGCATGTTCTGAAAGACATGTCGATTCTCTAGTAATAAGTTGTCAGAGACGGTTATCTTTAGTTTAGTATATATAGCAGTTTCTTCATATGTTATAATCGAGGTCGCAAATTTCATTTACTTTCTCTGTAGAATTGGAGTACCCAAGTCAAAGTGTGAAACAGTTTGCGGGTAACATGTGAGCTTGTGTCCCTTTTGTTTTATTGTCTCTATGTTTCCTTAATTGAAACATCTTTACTTTCTGTCATTTACTACGTTTATTTAATGTCATTTATTGCAATTTTATTTTACTTTAATTCAAGCTTTTTGTAATTAAAGCTTGTCTTCACTTTGTTTGCACACTGACAATCACAGTCACTTCATATACATATTTTCTTCTAAACGTGTTTGCATAAAACAGCTCCTGAGATTTGTCGAGTTAATCTCATAGACTTTTAAACTCGTGATTGTTTTCTAAAAACACCCGCAAATAGGTGTCCCAGGAAAGGAGACTATGACATGTCGCCTAATAGGAGGTATTGCACCGCCCCAAGTTTTTCCTATCGTCCAGACATGGAAAACGTGGGATAAGACTTTTCTTGGGTAAAGAGAAGTTGGGTTCATTAACTGACTCACGTCCCCCTTGCAAATAAGGATTCAACTCCACTATTGACTGAGTGGGCGTTGATCCTTCCCAATAAAACTCTAGGCCCAAGACGCCTTTATAAATACATCTCTCTAGTACGGGGAAGAGACGGATCTCAATTCATACTAATCACACCCTTAAACAACTAACACAACTAACTCTAACACTTTCCCTCAAGCAGGAATATGGATAAATATTTCAAACTTGAAAAGAACGATACAATCAAAGGAAAAGAAATACAATGTAACTGATTAAAAATATTACAACCACAAAAATATATAAGTTTTAATCACATTATCTAAAATAGAAAAGTTTATGTCGATAGAGATAGTGGCTAATGTGTCTATTTCATAGAAGTCTTCGACCTAGTTTGTTTTTTTTGGAAAAAAATTTGGTGTATATTAGGTGCTCGCTCCAATAGAGTAAAAAATGAGTTAATGTCGATAGAGGTATTGGTGGAGGTGTCGAACTCATAAAAGTATTTGTCCTAATTTGAACTCTTTGAAAATCTTACAGTGTCTCTTCAACGCTCACTCTAATAAAATCAATAAACTCAATCTTGTGTCTTCAAATGCCAAATTTTAGATAACAAATCTTAACAACCATATAACTGAGAGCACAAAGAGAATAGAAAATATTAGATATAACATATAGTGAATGAAAATTGTTAAACTATCATTGAGCATAAGCACGAAGAGAATAAAATATGCTTAACTACTATATCATAGAAGCATATAGAGATGGAAAAAATACTAACTACCATTTAATAGAAAACATAAAAGAAAGTCATTAATAAATAAACAAAAATTAAAGAAGTTTATCATAAAGTTATTGAGGTGCATGAGAAACTTCAGCAAATATATGATATAATAAATCATTTGATCAAAAGAACTCAATTATTGTCTTAGAAGTCGATATAAGATTGAAGATCAAAAGTCGATACAAGGTTGGAGATCAAAAAGGAAGAATGTAGTGAAATGAGAAGACAAAAATGGAAAGAAATAAGGAGCTAGTTAAAGATTATGTTCGTTGATAAGTACAATTATCTCTTCTTCATGGTGATAACCATGGCTCTGAAAGCATGTTGAGAAGCATGGTTAAACCCAAAAAAAAGTGAAATAAAATAAAAGATGATTCAACTATTTTTTATTGATTCATTAATAAGATGGTGCATATTTATATAGGTTTTAATCATTATGAACCACATAAAACTCTCGGTGCAATCACAATCTTATAAAAGTGTCGGCAAAATACCAATCGTTAAAAATTAACAATATCAAAATTTTCAAAAATTCAGGAAAAATCAAATATTCAAAAGAAAAACCAATAAAATTTTTCACGCACATATTTTTTTAAAATACCGGTAAAAATACATGGCGAATTTTTTTAATGACCTGCCAAAATTTTTGTGTCTGAAAGAATATTTTCCAACATGTGCTTAATGAAAAAAAAAAAGATATTTTTTGTATTACAAAAATATGAAGGTGTCATATGACTTTAGACTTGCCAAATAAAATTCACAAAAAAAATTGATTTTTTGTATTGATTATCATGCCTTTGATAAGATCATTGTGAATCTTATTCCAATTTCAAATGAATGGTTAGATGAATTACATGGTACCACTCATTTTTTTAAACTCGGTTTTAAGTTCCATTTTTCATCAAACTATGAGAGGCCAATGATTGATACCACTCATTTTTTTCATCAAACTTTTTGAAGTCATTAATGATTTATACCACTCTTTTTTTTTTTTAAACTCAATTTTGAGGCTAAAGACAACTCGGTTTTAACTGAAAAGCAGTCTTTGGTCTCTCATCTGGTTTCATATTTGATAATATTTCGAGTTTTAACTGAAATATTACAAGTGTTCTTAATGTTTCACCACTCGAAATAAACTCGATTTCAAAAATTTTAAAAGTTGAATATACAATTTAATCTCTCAATGTTAACAAGACCCTTTTTATTTGAAAGTACAGTTACAAAAAAATTGGGTTCAAAACATACCTAAAGTTTAATGATGAATCCAAGTGTTCTTACCATTTATCACAAGTCTGAAATATTATCAAATATGAAACTAGCACACCATAACATGTATTCAAAATAGTCTGAAAAATAGATAAACAAAATGGAGTCATCCTTTGTATGACACAGAATATCAATCAACAAATGTTTTGAACAACCTGTTAGAAAACACAGCAAGATTGTAATTGCAAGATGAAAGAAATGGCGCGCACACACACACACACACACTCTAATGTTTTTACATCTTGGAAGACATCTTGGAGGAGAATAAGAGAGAGAATAGAGATGTTTCTCTTTCTTTTTTTTATTTCACATTACAAAGTGTTATTTATATGTGTTACAAAATAACTTTCTAAGCAAGTCATTCATACACAAGGTAACTAACTAACAACTAATTTGTAACAAACTACTAACTAACTTGTACACATGACAGTTATGGATTAAAACTTAACAATCCCCCTTAATTCATACTTGTTGAACACTCATAACACCAAGTTTCTTTCTCAAAAACTCAATCTGTCAAGCTTTAGAGCCTTTGTAAAACCATCTGCCAGCTGCATTTCAGTTGGACAATATTGCACTTCAATCATTCCAGTGTTCACTTGCTTTTTAATAAAATAAAACCTTGTATCGATGTGTTTACTTCTGCCATGTGAGATTGGGTTTTTAGCAAGGCTAATAGCTGACTTGTTATCAATTTTGAGTACCTGAGGCTTCATCACTTCACACCTCAGTTCCTTTATCATTGAATCCAACCAGATTGCTTAACAAGTTGCAAATGTTACTACAATATATTATGTCTCACAAGATGAAAGTGCAGTCACCGGTTGTTTCTTTGTACACCATGATATAGCTGCTTCATTGAACTTGAAAACATAGCCAGAGGTACTTCTTCTATTTGTGTTGTCACCGCACTAATCACCATCTGAGTATCCAATGAGTTCACTTCTTTCACCTTTGCTCCCATTTGGGAATAGCAAACCAAACTCCTTTGTGCCTTTTATATACCTAAGTATCCTTTTAGCAGATATCAAGTAAGTCTTTCTTGGATCATGTATGAATTTTCTAATCACACTGACTGAGTAGCAAATGTCAGGCCTGCTGTTCCCCTAGATCAGTCATCTCAAATTCAGATTTCAACTTGTTTTTCACTTTTTCAATCTCTAATGTCTTACTTCCTGTAATGGGCAAATCATCCACATATAGG